AAAAAGGAAGGTGAAAAAAGGAAAAACATAAAGTCTCAACTTTTCTTGGTGTAGACGACAATAGATTTGTTGGTAATAAATGGTGTAGGGACTCATGTCATCGAAAAAATGCACAAAAGGGAAGCATTAACATAATGGTGGCTGTGATTGAGGAGAGAGAAAATGTGAATGAGAGAAAATGAGGAAGAGGATTTAAGGATTTAAAACATAAAACCATTATTGATTGAATACAAATGAAAATTTTGTCGGTATTCGTCAAAACTTTTTTTAAATTAATTTTTTTACTGACATTTATCATTGATAAAATTTTTTTCATTGATAAATCATAAAAAGTTATTATTGACAAAAAATTATATCGATAATTCATTGTTAAAGTATTTGTTAACGTATTTACAACAAAACATTTCATCCATAATCCTCATGCAAACTTTTTCATTTACTTACAAATTACTATTTGATAATAACTTTTGTTGATAATCCATCGATAATAACCATACTAATTCTTTCTTTTGTTCCATTGGTAATTATCAATGAAAATTTTTTATTGGTAAAATTTCATTGATAATAGACTTAATTTTAGTAATGAACAATCTTCATTCCTACAACAAAGAAAAAGAAATGCGAAATAAACGGACTTTAACATTTTTAACATTTAAAACACTAATAAAAATGGAGAATGGTTATAAGATAACACTCACATCTTAGACTCATGTGGTAAGAGACTTGATGACAAGCAATGCCATTTCAAGAGTCAAAACTTAAAGCTACCTTCTCAAAGCATGGGAGAAAAATCTAAATGTGATCAACACTATCAGGCAAGACTCATCTACAAGTGACTTCAAAACCTTGGTAAAGAGAGAGCATCAAGAAATTTACATGACGAACACACCCTCAAAGAGAGTGAGGACTTAAAGAGACAAACCTATCTCTTTTGGATCCGAAGACTTCAAAGGTTAGTTACACCAAGTTAATGATGTTATAGTGATCACCTCTACAATTCACAATCACATTATGAAAAAAGTTTCATATCGATAATGGTAGCACAATTGATGTACTTTACTACAAAGCCATGAAGACTAAGTGGCCCTTACAATTGATATCATTATCTATCTTACATATATTTTATGATAAGTGCTATACTTTAATGTCTTTTTATATGGCCATAACCAAGGATGTTCAAGAAGATATATATTAGATATAGCATGAATCTTATGAAAATAGATGATTGATCAAAATATGATTTATCACTCTAACTAATTGGGAGAAAATCTCATTGATTCTTGACAAGTATAAAATCATGAAAACCTTTGGAAAGATGGAATGAAGAATTGGAAAAAGATTCAAATTTCATTTATAGGATCAATAATTTTGGGTTTAAGAACTAATATGGTTATACGCATATAAAGTAGACACTAAGTCAAGTTTCAGTGTCTAATTAAGATTTTACATGATGAAAGGATTGAATTATGCTAATAGAATGTGAACGGATAGTGTTGTCAACCACTTTAATTATTTTTTATAATTGGTTGGTCATGACACATTACTAAATGACATTATGAATTGATTAATTGGAGTAAAGACGAATGCAAAGATGTTTGATTCATCTAATCATAATTGGTACAAATTCATATATTTTGTCAAAATGTTTAATTATCTAATAGATCATAGACATTAAAAGTAATTGAATAAAAAATTAAAATGAAGAACAAAGTTAGACTTAATTGAAAAAAAAAGTTTGGTAATTTAACAACTTAATTGACATAGTTCAATAATTCAAATAATATTTAAAATCATGAAATTCAAATAAAACTTAGGGTTACCCAAACTTCTTTCTATTCAAATAGTGTTTGGTCACCCTTTTATAAGCTTGATGATAAATAAGATTGAAAAGACTACCTACCATTAGTTTTGATCAAAGTCTTTCCTCTGTCAAGGATTTTATATATATACGTATATTTGAGGTTTACAAAGAATTGAAGCCTAGTCACTGAAATTAAAAATGCCACGGTTCTAGAGAAGAATATTTTTGTTTCGCATCAATTATGCACTAAAGTTTGTCTATGTATTTAAGTGTCCATGCCCTTCTTAACATGTGAGACACTTTTTATGGGATAAATCATGAGGTCCAATAGATCAAAATAAATAATACCTTTTTAAGTTAGCATGGATAATAACGCTTGGTATTAGAATTAGCTCTAAGGTATTAACATGTGAGACACCTTTTACAAGAAAATGTTCTTGTTAATGGAGTCTTAAATCTCACATCAATAATGTACTATATTTCGATTAGGTATTTAAATGTTCATATCACATTCAACCTATAAAACACTTTTCATGGAAGGAAATTATGAGACATAATAGATTAAAGTCGATAATATCTTGCATGTTGGTGTGGACCTAACATTTTACTTGTATGGATTATCATTAGAGGTTACACATTTAATAACTTGCTAAATACAAAAGTCTAATAGAGTTTAGTCAAACTAAAATGAAAATTCTAATAATATATAATTAAAATAATTTCTTTACAAATTACTATATTACACCTCCAATTATTGATAATTTTTTGACATGTGTCCAAAATAATAAGCTAAAATTGCTATACGCCCTTCTTACGATAATTACGAAAATGCTCCTCTTAATTGGTCAAAATTATTATAGTGCCCATCTAACTATAATTATGAAAATGTTTTTCTTACCATAATTGACTAACTATAATTAAAAGTAATTCTCTTACAGTATATTTGGATTGAGTGGAGGGGAAGGAAATGAAAGGAATATAAAGGAAAGTAATGGAAACAAAAAAAACTCTTTCTTTGTTTAGATAAACTTTTAATTAAAAAAAAAAAGAAAAAGATAGAAACTCAATAACTTTTGATTTCTCTTGTAATTTTCACTTTTTTAATACCTCAATTTAGGAGAAAAGGTAAGGAAAGGAAAGTTGAAAAATTTTTATTTTTATAAAAAGATATTATATCCATCTTTTTATTAATACTAAAAACCTAGTTAAAAAAACCTAACCACTTCACAATCTTCATATAATTTGTTCAAAGCCATCTCGTTTTGGTAAAATAAATTTATGTTGGACAACTATATGGTGATATGTTATTACTTTTTGTTTGGTGCAAAAAGGACATATAATTCACTAGTTTGTAATGTTTTTATGTGATTGTATTTTTTATATTTAATAGATTTCATATGAATACATCGGTAAAGTGATAGTGTGCTGAAATTTTAGCAATAGCCAAAAATTCCATCAGAGTATATTTGTAAAACACCTTTCTTTTTCACTTGATTAAAAACCACTAATATAGCAATAATTGTAAAGTTAGATAAAATAGCAAACATATAATGATTCACAAGTACTTTAATATCACATAATTATCTTTTTAGATCTAGTTACTTGACGCTTCGTAATCCTACTTTTTGTATTATGGATAATGATGTGTATAAAGCTAATAACTAGTTCTTCTATTGATATATGTCTAGATGACTATAACCTTATGTTTTAAGCAAATGATATAATTTTGTAAAAGCTTCAATGTCCATTCTAGTATTATTTACGCATTATCTATCGCTTTTAAAGATCATTGTATTTAAGTTTAACTCTCTAATATGTAGATTATCATAAGATGTTTCACCAGAAAATAGTCTATGTCGTTTTCTAACATTCATATTTAACAAAGTTACAGCAATAAAATATAACAAATGCAATAAAGTCTCCATCTAATTCAAATGCATAATAAGCAATAGAACCAATTGCATCTTCGTTCTTAGTAATAAACCAACCATAACTATTTAGAAGACAAAATATCGTTAAAATTAAAAACATATATGAAAAACAAATCTTGCATATGGTACATGAAATCTATCAAACATCATAAAAAATATAAATCAGCAATAAACATTTTTGGATAAAAGGAGCTAAAACAAAAAACCACAAAACAAGACGATTACATCATAAATATAAATTTAGATCTAAACAACATCTACAAATATATAAAAAAAAAACATTGAAAGGCAAAAAAAATGCATATTAGATAAAAAGATCAATCATAAAATATGCAATGTTTTATGTAAAAAATGAAAAAAAAACCAAACATGGTAAAGATTAAATGACGGATGTTAAAGCTGAAATTGGTTCAAAGAGAAAAAAAAAATGCTATAAGCTGAGATATGTTGAAATAAAAATCATAAATGTATTGGGTGTTGAAATATGATGAAGACATCAAATAAGACGTTTCACATATACAAACACCTTGTTTGATGTATAAAATATATGTTATTATGCTTCATGATTAGACATTACAGTGTCCTTATTGTCAGAACATGATATTCGAGAGGGAAATTAAAATTTTAATATGTGACAATTGATGCATTTGTAGGAAAAAATACCTTAATTGATAACCAATTAAGGCATTTTTTTCATACAAATGCTTTAATTGAGAGACTCTTATTTGGCAATCATTTATGTCATAACAAAGTCTTTGAGAGAAAAAAATATTTATAATAAAATTATCAATTAAAGCATTTCAATGAAGAAACACTTTAATTGATGGGCAATTTAGGTATTAGACGAAGAAAACGCTTTAAAGGATGCATTAATCAATTAAGGCATTTCATGCATGAAATGCTTGATCAATTAAGGCCTTTCATCATGCTAAATACTTTAATTGCAATATAAAAAAAAGTTAAAATAACACTAAACAACTAAATTTCTATCATTTCAAAATATATTTTTAAAGAAATAATGATTATATGATAATTTTTTTTCATGTTAAATTTGAAAAAGAAACCAAATTTCCTCCTTGATTTCTTAAAATAACACAAGAAAAAGTAAAATTTTCGTTCGAAACTTTTAATACCATTAAAAATTTAAAATTTTTTTATTTAATTAAATTATCTTGAAACAAATATAAAAATTAAATATATTCTAAAAAATATTTTATAAATTCCTTGTAACCAAACGCGCTCTAAATATATAAAGCGGTTTCAAGATATTCTCTTCTTCGAAACTTGTTCGGCACATGCGTTCTACTGCCTCTGACACAAACTCCTATAAATCTCAGAAAACCATCAACTTTTATTGTTGTTTTTTTGTCCTAAAATATAGAAAACACCCGTCTTGTCTTTTTTTGCGGTTAAATTTGTTTCTCCGGTGACTGATCATCGCCGGATTGTTGCCCTGACTGAGCAATGGGAGAGGAATATTTACAGCAGTTCCTGGATGAGACCACTTGGTACAACAGCATTGTGTTGGAATATCTTTTGCCCACCAAACTGTGGAGCCCACTCCCCCATTTCTTTCAAAGTTGGCTGCGTAACTACATTGCCGGGACTTTGCTTTACTTCATCTCTAGTTTCCTCTGGTGCTTCTATATTTACTACTTGAAGCGCAATGTTTATGTTCCCAATGGTACTTTTTTTCCTCTTTTTGTTGATTTTTCATGAGTTTAGTGATGGATGAAAACTGGGTTTTCCTTTTTATATTGATTTTGAATCTGGGTTCTGTCTTTTTTTTATTGTTTCTTTAGTTTTAAGTTGATTGTTTCGCTAAGTTTATTAAGACGCTAAGTTTATTACATCTTAATTTCTTCTTTTATAAATGGACATTTTCTGATCGTGCTTTAACATTTTTCATTTTGGATCTTTGGGGAGAATAAGTCAAAGGAGGATGCATGTTGGATTCTGTCTCTTAATTTGTTTCTTTCACCTAATAGTACTAGAGATTATATAAAAGTAATGCTTCCTTTCGAATCTGGGATTGGAATTCAGTCAATGATGAAATATATGGATAGAATGCCTTATGATCATTGTCAAATTACTTGTGATTATCTAAAAGAAGGTCAGCTGATAATATTGGTAGGGAATATTATTTTCTTGATTCAAATCCTTTACCCGTGAATTAATTTTATGGGATTGTGATGAATGCTAGCTTTCATCCTGTATTTTCTATTTAATTCTTGGACCATTTTGTATTACCATGCATGATACCTGCAAAACAGACTCCAATATATCTTTTAAAAAAAATTATAGTCTCTCATCTTATCTGCAATAGATACCATAATCTTAAAAGCCATTAGGAACCAAACAACACTACACCTGCTTGTAGAAGTCAACTGTATTCTTTTTTCTCTGTTATATTTTTTCTAATGTGAAATTCCTACCCTGGCTTAATATGGCTCCTTTGTTTATGTCTTGAATGCTCTTAATGCAGATGCTATCCCTACAAATAAAGCCATCCTTTTGCAAATTTATGTTGCTATGAAGGCCATGCCATGGTACTGTGCTCTTCCAAGTTTTTCTGAATACATGGTTGAAAATGGCTGGACAAAATGTTATGCTAGAATAAGCGACGTTGGTTGGCTTCCCTATGTAGTATATTTATTTATTTATCTTGTGGTGGTGGAGTTTGGTATTTACTGGATGCATAGGGAGTTGCATGATATAAAACCTCTATACAAGTATCTTCATGCAACCCATCACATCTACAACAAGCAGAATACCCTTTCTCCATTTGCTGGTAAGTTCTTATCTATATGCTCTAGTTTCCGTGGTTTATACTTGCTTCCACTGGCAAAAGGATTAACTTGCTTGTCTAAAAGTTTGAACCATATTGAAATGTTTTCATTACCGTGCTTGACAATAGGCAGGCCATTATGGTTATTTTTTATATCAAATTACAGATCTGTTGATTAATAGATAGATAAATAAATAAGACAAAACTTGACAAGTTTAACTAAGAGAGGATCCTGAATTGATCGGTTTTAGCCAACCAGTTTTTTGGGGATCTCATAATCTTTTATGATGTGAACATGGTAGACTTTAGATTTGAACGCAAAACATGCCTTGAATTTGGCATATGTTTGACCATTATCTTTGTCTTCTTGCATATGAGATTATTAATTTGCTTTGCACTGTATTTTTTTCTTGTTGAAACTATTGCTGCCACCTAGCTCCAATTTGGACAGGTAAAGCATGCTCTAGCTTGCATGCATTTAAATAGTTCATATCTTCAGCTTCTTGGATGATTGACTAGACTGAAAGAGATTAAACAGAATTAACATTATTCCTTGATAGAAGAAAAGTGAAATGCTTGGGGTTGCTTTGGAGCATATTTAACCATTAGTCTAGAATTATGACTGGGTTGAGTGTCTTAAACTTATAGATATACTGCATAAATTAGTGTAGGTGAAGTTCTGAGTGTTTCTTTTTCCCTCTGGGAATGCATACCATGTCAAAATCTGTGGACCTTGTGGATGCCAGAATTACAGTTATATGGTAAAATTGTTTAATTTAATGATTTTATTTGACGTCTCTTTTGCTGCTATAATGTTGATGTCACATTAATAATAAATCCATGTTAGTTTGTACTGCATGCTTGCTTGATAGGGTGGAAGAAAATTGAACAGATGAAAACTTGGAGGAGAAAAGTGAGAAGATGGAAAACATATATATATATATATATATATATATATATATATATTTGTGTGCTTGGTAGGAAAGATGGAAAATAGAGAAAAAAAAATAATGTTGGTCAATTATATAATTATGCAACACTTATTCACACCTTTCTCATTTTCTCTCCTATCTTTCCAATTTGGAATGATTTGCTTTTGTGAATAAGAGTGGAAAATTGTCATCTTTCCTATTTCTTTCCTCTCACTTTTCTCTCACACCAAGCACACTCAAAATTCATTTTCTTTCCATGTTTCCACCCTCCTCTTTCCATCCTTTGACTTTTCCACTCTACCAAGCACACCCTTAGTGTTAGAAAGAGAATGAAATTGAATCTGTCAATTACTTTCATTATGAGGTTTGCCTGTCAATATTTCAAGTAAAGTTTCTATATTATTCTATATTGTGTAGTCCAATTAACTGTTTTTAGTTATGATATTATACACTAAGACGTGTACTAGTTAATAGCTTTCTAAAGAATGTCTGAGCTAGTCTTCCTGCAGTTAATACTTGGTTGCATCGTGTGGCACATATGTAAACAGTAGCCTGTCATGGATGTGGTCTCGTAGAGCTTTTTCCTGACCAGATTCCATTCTTTGGTCGTCTTATATTGAAGGTTCCCTTAGCTGCTTTTTTAATGTACATTGAATGGTCATTGGCCTTTCTTTTCTAAAGGCTATCATCGAAATTTTGAAAATTTTGAAGAATGCTAAGCAATTTCAGTGCTCCCTTGCTTTCCTGAAACCCTTAATTGAAGAAATTTTAATCCACGACTGAAACTATGTTTCTCTGGAGCTTGAAAACGAGTGTATGATCTTTGATAAGATAGACCAAGCAATGCATTGTTTACTGAAAAACAATTTGAGTTAGTAATACCAGTACAGAACTCCCAATTATAAGTGGTTTACCTCCTTTAAAGAGAAGCCTGGTCCTTTCTCCTCACTTCTATTTAGGTGCTTGCTCCTAAAGAATGTTTTTCTGCATCTTTTTTTTTTTCTTTTTTCATTTGATTTGGGTGCACTGAAGCAACTAGGTGATAGTTGCATCAATAGCTTGCTGGTTTCTTTCGTTTGAACTGTATTTATTTAGTGTGGCAAACTAAATTTTCATTCCAAATAGAAGTTTTTTTAGAAGGCACACTTGGCTAACAGATTAGAAACCATTTGCATGATATGCCCACTTCAGCTGAAAATTATATTAAGATTTTTGTATCTTATTTAATGAAATAAGCTAAAAACAATGCCTTATTTCAGGTTTGGCTTTTCACCCTCTGGATGGAATACTGCAGGCAGTACCTCATGTTACAGCACTCTACATTGTTCCAACTCATTTTACAACTCATATTGGACTCTTATTCCTTGAGGCCATCTGGACGGCAAACATTCATGATTGCATCCATGGCAAAATATGGCCTGTGATGGGTGCTGGCTACCACACCATTCACCACACTACATATCGCCATAATTATGGCCATTACACCATTTGGATGGATTGGATGCATGGAACCCTACGTGACCCTATTGATGATGCAGTCAAGAAGGTGATGTAATTGTCTTTGTGCTCATCTTCACATTTCCTGGTTTTCTTTTAGAAGTTTTCCTTTTTTTTTTTGTTTTTTTAGTTTGTTGTTTTTCTCCTAGTTGGAGATATGTTATCCTACAAAAGTGTGCTTTGGCAATGCATCTTTCATCTATGTTGCATCTCTCACAACATTTGAGTTAAAATGTTTTCCATGGAAGTCACAAGTATTTACTTGAATGGACAGGTCAATTAGGAAAAATATGCTTGTGGAGTTCAAAAATTCTATTGCCTGTGCACATAAATGGATGGGTGAGGTGATTTGATTGGATATTTTGTAAATATTTGAAGGCCTTGTCAATTTGGTAGACTTTTTCATTTATTGGCTCTCAGTCATCATGGATGATCACCTTTGTCCCTTTTTTTTTTTTTTTTTTGAAAATATGATCACCTTTGTCTTGTATGTATTACGTTGAGTTAAAAATAATAAAAAATTTAAAACGTAAAAGATTTAAAACAATATGTATTACATTGTTTTAAAATTAAATTCGGTTCTGAATAAAAAAAATAAAAAAAATAAAAAACATAAAGCTCCATTCAGTTATCTTTTTTTCATTAAAAAAAAAGTGTGACAACTGCGTTGGTGCATTAATACAAAATAATAATTTTTCGGAGATTAAAATTTTAAAAGTTTATCTTTCTTGTTGCTCTATTTTACTTTTGTATGAAACATTTTATTTAAATTGATATTCTAGTTTAGCTAGAGGTTCCAATTTGATCGAATAGGTTGAATTATTTTAAATTTGGATAAGAATATATTCATTTGTTTTAAATTCAAATTATTTGGAATTTGAATTATTTTGTTATAAAATTAGATTATAACTCGTGTGATATACAAAATAATTTTATTTATTTAATATAACATATATATAAATTAGTTTTTTTTAATTATATTCAAATTTTCAAAATTCATAACATATATAAAATTTATATGTATTGACTTGTCATAAAAAAATAAATTGTTTGAAAAGAAGAAAAAAAATTATATCTTTTTTTTGGATAATTTTGTTTACAATAATATTTATACACTTATAAAATTATATTACATAAAAATAAATTGTCTTTTTTAAAAAAATAAAAAATATATTATTGAATAATAAATTAAATAATAAAAGAAGTATTAACACAGTTTCACTTTAGTAATCTTGACTAAATTATTTTATAAAATATAAAAAATGTTAGAAAATATGTGAAAAAAATAAATTGAAAAAAAATTTTCATAAGAATAAAACTATAATAATAAAAAAATATATCTTAGAAAAAATTTATAAACAAAACAAAAATAAATTACAATAGTAATAGAATATACTTTAAAAAAAGTTACTAAAAAAATAAAAAAATTTGATGTATAACATATTATATTTGTAGTCTTAAATTTGTAGAAGAATTTTTTAATAGCAATTAAAATTTAAATTGGATATAATAAGTGATAAAGATAATATTAAATTTTTTGCATTTATTTGAAATATAAATTTGATAATTAGAGTTCAAATAAATATAATTATTTGGATAATCTTATTATTTAAAGATTTAAGATGAAAATTTTTTAAATTTTCAAAATATTACATAAAATTGTTTGAATTTTTAATGTCTTATATAAATTTTTTAAAAAGATAATTTTTTAAATATAAAATTTTAAATCAAGATAACAATGATTGTTGAAAGATTTAGATAAACTTAATTTTTGTAATTTTTAAACATATTTAAAAGATTTTGATAATTAAATAATTTTTTAAATAGGGTTATTTTATAAATAACTAAAATTATTTATTAAAAAAATAAAATCCATATTTCATATTTTTAATTTTAGAATATATATCTCTAAATTGATTTGATTTTCAATTATAATTTGAATAATTTTGATATTTGAATTATATCTAATTTGTAATTAAAAGAAATTATCTTTTTTTTTAAATATCCTATGTGTCATTTAAAAGAGTTGTCCGCATAAACGCCTATATGACAAACTTATTTATGTATGTTGTTATATAATATATATATTTATATATATATATATATTATATATTAGATTGAGTTCAAATTAAATTGAAATTGGTATTAAATGTTATCTTTTAAGTGTCAAGTTCATATTATTACTATCTTTGATTGGATTAATCTCAACTTTAAATTGTTTCGAATTCAAATATCTTGAAGTTCAAATCTTTGAATTTTTTTATCAATTTGATTATGATTGGGTTCGAATTCAAATTTTTTCAAGCATGTTTCGGATTCATTTTACTACATTTCATTTTAATAATACATATACTAATTTTAATTTGAATATAATATAATTTTGCATTAATCCACTATTTTTTTTCGGATTCATTCCAGTATTTTATTTTACGTAATAATAGTTTTTTAAAAAGTTCTAAAATGTAAACTTCTTCTGTACCATAAATAATGTCCTCATTTGATTTTTAAGGGTTAAACTTTTCACTTTGACTTTTTTTAGTTTAATATATTGCTAATTAAAATATAAGAAAATACTTTTTAAAAAAACTTGAAGGAGGAACTTTTCAAATATAATTTTAATAAAACTAATTTAATAAATACTTATATATCGATCATCAAAGTTGATAAAGTTTGACTGTAAAAAACTCAAACCAACCATAACTTATTGAACATATTGTGTTATTTTATCTAAAATAGTGATTAATTTATCTTTCAGTTATGATATTTATTTTCTATTATGTTAAATGTGTAAACTCCTAATTTTGTTCGAATAAATTTTGGCCTGTTGTGATGTTCTTAAAGTCTAGGCTAATTTGAATCCAATCATTCTTTATTTTTATCAAAAATGTAAAACTAAATTTTAAACCAAATTGACCATAATGCCTTACGGTCAAACTTGATCAAATATGATCAAAACAAAGTTAACCTCGAACAAAAAAGTCAAAATTAATCAAACTTTGGCCCATTCTTAAAATTCACAACCTAATGGGATCATCGAGGCTTAGGATTAATATTTTTGTGATTTTAATGTACTAAAAACCCTAATTGTGCATCAAAAAGAGTAAAATTATCCAAGTGTCTTGTAGGGGTATTTTCATAATTTTAACCTTTTCAATGTTAGATTTTTGTGAAAGATTCTATATTATATTTGATACCATTCCATGATTTTTGATACATTAAAAACTTTGATCGCATCTTGAAATGTATAAAATTATCAAAATACCCTTAGGGATATATTTGTAATTTCATTCCCAAGGTTAGTTTTTGACGATAAATTCCATATCATCTTTTCATATTATTTTATGATTTTTGGCGCATTGAAAACTTTGATTGTACCTCGAAAGGTGCAAAATTACCAAAATGACATTTTAGGGTATTTTTGTAATTTGACTTTTTCGATGTTGGTTTTCCATGAAAATTTAAGATCATGTTTTCATATTATTTTTTGATTTTTGGTGTATTAAAATCACAAAAATAAGAATAAGATCATGGGTTTCCAAGAAAATCATACAGAAAAGATTTAAAAACACTAATTAAGGCAAAATTATCATTTCGTATGCCATGAAGGATTGTTACGCAAACAGCCAAGAGAATATGCTATCAATAATGATGACCATTAGATTTTAAAGGATACTAATCCAATGGTCCACATTATGAGCTTAACCACCAAGCTTGATAAGAAATGACAATTGATTTTGCATCATTAGATGAGATTTAATCCAAGGCCCATTATAGGGCTTTTTTCTTCTAGTTTTAAGTAGCAAAAGGTAGTGCTAATCAGCAAGAACAAGGGGAAAAAGCAAAAATGTCTTAGTTTCATTCTTGCTTTGACGGAAATAAATCCTCTCATATGAACTAAAAATTTATGTTCAGCTTACTATAAATACAATTAAAATCTGCCTAAACCATCCAAATATTTTTCTAACTTTGAAACTGGGTCCAAAAAAAAAAAAAGATAAGAACATTGAGTATTATGTTGTAAATGAATCTATGCTTCGCCACATAGTGGGTCATTTTAAGTTTAGCTTGGTTAAATGTCATTGAAGTTGAGTTCATACCTATTTGAAGATAAATCAATGAAAGATCTTTATGTTCAAGTTCCAAACTCTTGTTTTAATTTTTTTTGGATCCCTTTCAACTTAGTCATGCTAACCCATTATAACCAAACCAACACAGCTTAAATCATCATTTTCCTTTGTAGGTACATTCCTTTTTGCTATATTTATATTTTTATTTCTTTTATTTTCATATAATGTTGATTCAACAGATTTACTTTTCAACATGTGAAAAATGAATGATATCTATAGTAGAGCCTAGCAAATTAAGATTTTTATCATGTTAGTTCAACTAATCCCTGCTTTAATACCTTACAAATGAAGATCATAAAAAGTTATTACTGAACAAAAAATTACATCGATAATTCATAGTTAAAGTATTGTCAATGATTTACAACAAAAAAATTTCATCCATAATCCTCATGCATATTTTTTGAAATAGTATTTACCAAGTTTTACCCTAAAAAAATCTTAAAAAACTGTATCCACCAACATGCAATAAGAATTACCTTGAATAGGCCTATAACTTAAAACACTGAAAATAGATTAATTAATGATAGGTAAAGGGAAAAAAAGAGGATCAACAAGCTAAATGTAGACTTAGGTCTAATGCAATTTAGATCAAAATTATGAAAGGAAAATGAACACAACCATGAAAATTATTATAAAAAATATATTAAAAGTAATCTCTCATAAAAAATATTATAAAAAATATATTTATTATTTATGTTAAAATGATAAGTATATTTTTATAAAAAAATAATAATGTATTTAAAATAAATTTTGATAAAAAATTATCAACCCCGACATTGTAGGGACAAAAAATCTAGTTTTTACTTAAAAAAAATAAAATTTGAGAGGTGTTATTTGCACTCTAACTTCCTTTCTTCACACCTCGCTATTATTAACACTAAATTTTTTACTCAACACACCCTAAATAAAAACACAAATTTACTAAAAAATCAAACACTCCATCTCTTCGCACTTAGTCTCTTCTTTCTTTTCAACTCAAAACCTAAAATATTTTAAACCCCGATCAAGTCATATTCAAAGAAAATTTCACCTATTTAAAGTTAAAAGATATAAAATTAAAAGCAAATCATTTGTTCTTTCTACTTTTTAATTTGATTTTATTTTTAATTTCATAAGATTTCATATTGAAATATTTGGATGTGATTCCAAACTTTCAAAAATAAATTTGTAAAAGTTTTTAAAAGTTTTCGTAAATAGATATCTGAAAGCTTTTAAGAACGTTCAAACACCAATTTTCGAAGACTTTTAAGAGCTTCTAAAAATAAATTTTCGAAATGAAATGTAAAATATAAAAATAATTAACTAATACATTTTTAAG